AACAAAGCAAAGCAACTTTTCCATGCTCGCGGCAGAACATGGAGATAGACCGGGACTTCCTGAATCTGTATCAACGGTGATGTGACTGACGTTCAGCTCGCATTCACTGTAGCGACGCCGTCACTCTGCGAAACACCGACTGCGTGTGTTCTCCACTCTCTCCTCCCTCCACAGCTCCACTGCCCGAGACAGAGCCAGAACACCAAGGGCCGTCATATATAAAACGGTTTCTCTGGTAAACATTTTGTGTGATAGGCCTCTACGCTGCTGGCAATTCTGTGCTACTAGCTTGAATGGACCATGCCTGGCTGTGTTACCGAATAAGATGTGCGGCCGAACAACTGGGTGATTATTCTATAACCGTATAGGCAGATGTTATCAGGGGCGCGGTCCTTTGTCGAGGTAACCAGGAAATACACATTTCGATCGCTTCTTCTGTCGTTTACATAAATCTTTTGGTATATTTGGCTCCATAGGAACACTTTGATGCACATTCAGTACCAGTGTGTGGGGTTGTGGTTGCGATGCCGATATGCGGACGCGTACAGCGAGGACTACAAAAAGACACATCAGGTGACTGGGGATGTCTGTTCAAAACATTGCAAGCTTGAATAAATCATTTATACCATTTATTTTTACCAGACTTATTACTGAATATCATTCTTAATGTGATACCAAGTCCATCTGAGACCTGTGTATACCTTCAGACAGCCTACAAGTGAAGCACACGTAGTTTACTCACAGTTTGAAAGCAGCATGGAGAGAAGTCTTCAGCTGTGGAGCTGTGATCCGCCCAGGATAAACTGTGATACAACTTCTGTGGCTTGTTCTTGTTGTCAGTCTTATATTTGTATCTTATATCGTTATTAATATGATGTCGAGTTGATTTGAGACCCGTTTATACTTTCATACCGTCTGTTAGATAAACATACAGTCAGGGCCGGCCCTAGACTCTAGCGCGTTCTCACTTCACACAACACGGAACCAACTTTTGTCTTATGATGTTAGCATAAGCACACATATTGTATAAATAAGCATGTAAACACCGTGGATCTAACATCCTCTAGGGGGGTCCTCACCTCCTCTAGGTGGGTCCGGGGGCATGCTCTCCCGGGAAGATTTTGTTTTAAATATTGAAGTTAAAAGCATCAATCTGGTGCACTTTGAGAGCAACATTAAGAGATATATGGATACATCTCTCAACACCCATATGAAAATGAACTGTAAACAGATTTTTCTTTATGGATATTTTACAAATCACTCCCCTTTCAAACTGTATTCTTGTTTTGTCATATAGTATTTCATCTACTGTTTTTCATTTATTCTCTCTGGCTGTCCATCTCATAATGTTCACATAAAAACTAGCTGTCAATAGGAATATCATTCAGAAGAATTATAATTTCATGCAAAAATCTGTCACAAAAAGAGGTTGCACATTTACATTCAGGTGTTGTTATGGCAACGTCAGTGGCCAAACAGCCACATTTACTGCTGCAAATACGTTCAAACATGCTGTCGATACTAAAGCAGTGGCAACTATGCCACCTTTTCAGCTGACCTTTTCTCAGAAATACTGTCACATAACATCCATATATTTCAGTGCTAGGTTGATGCCTAGCTAAGCTAACTATGAAACACTTTAACTGACAGGACTCAGGATCAACTGTGTACTGTAAGGTAGCTTCTAGCTTCATGTCGAACAGTAAGTCAACATTTCCCAGAGAGCTTTCTTTGAAATCACCAGGTAACGCTACAGTTAGTGTCCGAGATGACAGTCATGAATCGGTTAGTGGCCGGGCAGAGAGGATAAGAGTAACTCATAAAATTTCTTCTCACTTGGCGCGGGGAGGCGGAAGTCCTACAGACAGTCTATAGTCAATATGGTCAGTCGCGCTACCGGCGTAGACTAGTTCATAGTCTGTTAGTCGATCCGAGAGACTCAGTCAATACTCGGTTGTGTCCGGAGAGACAAGGGGTCATAAGTCGGTTAGTGTATCCGGGAGAGCCCCGTCGAGAGAACAAGCTCACTATCACTCCGCTCGCGGTTAGTGTCCGAAGACAGGTCATAGGCTCGTCCGGTAGTGTCGGGAGCTAGACAGTCTATGATATCAGGTGTAGATAGAGGGAACCCCGGAGCTAGACAGTCATAGTCGGTAAGTTGTTCTGTAGAACACTGTACTAGTCCTATAGATCGTTAGTGTCCGGAGTAGGACACAAAGGCTCGGTTGTTTTGAAGTCAGTGTCTCATCTTACAGTCTGGCGCCGTCATGCGAGTGCAGTTACTCGAGACCTTCCAAGACTAACCTCGTCTTATGCCTGTAGGTCGACTGTAGGACCTCGTATGCGCGGAACCGTACCAATTCTTGTGTGACGGCTTGGACACTAAGTCGTGGTGTAGGTGTGTGTGTGTGTGTCGCTCGTGTACGGTTCCCTTCGGTCTCGCCGCGACGAAGGGGAACGGAGTGTTAGTTAGTTTTGGCCGTAGTTGAATCACAATACGACACTCGCAGGATTTTAGTGCGCCTTCATCTCAGCGCCGAGCCAAAGAGGAGCCTGTTTTATCGTTACCCTATAAGAGGTATCGCGTTAAAACCGTTTATTTTCTTTCCCGAGCTTTTTCTAGTCAGCCTTTCTTTTGCTTTTGACGAAGTCCATTTACCGTGCAAAACAAGTCAGCTAATTATAGGTGTACAGTGAGTGAAAAGTATTAAAAGCTTAGTAAGTTTTAGGTGTGTAGTGTGGTGATGTGCGTTGTGTGTGGTGTGTGGTGTGATATCTTGTCGTATCTTCTCAGTATCCCGTGCGTGAGAGTGTGGCACTTTCACGTTCGTTGCCTTCGTTACACGTTAATACCTCCACTCTAACCTCATTAGAAAAGTACGTTTTATTAAATCCGATTTGGAAGGCCGACGTCCGTCGTTCGTTGTTTATGTTTAGCTACTCGTCCAGGTTAGGGGTTTGAACCTCCCGACACAATGTCGCTCCGTTGTTTCCTGCGGCTTGCGCCTGCGTTTTTTGCAATTTCCAGAGGACTAAATTAAAGCGACTTACGTTACGCGAATGATTAATCTCAGTAACCGCGACCTCTCACCGTCACGCCTGGACAGCCAGTCATTGTCCGCACACACATCAGTGTGGGTGCGATGTAGGTTGTTGATGTTGTTGTTGTGTGTTTATGTTACACACATGTTTACTGTCCGCCGGCCCGTGTTGCGCGACATTAGTCCGATCGTGGTGTGTGTGTTGTGTGTGTCGTTGTGTGTAGGTGTGAGAGAATTAGCCATACAATACCATGACAATAAGGACAAAAAAAGACATATTTACATGACAAATGAACGACGTAGTAAAAGGTCCTGCCCGTAAGCTCGACCGCTGGCTCTAAATTACACAAACTCGAGTTAAGTCCTGCTGCTAATGTGGGTTTGCTCGGGTGTGGCCGGCTGGCCAGCGTAGGGGGGTGCGTGTCGGGGGGGTGTGAGGGTTTTTCTTCGTCCCTGCGATAAGTAACCCGAAGCCGGCGCAAGTAAAAAGACGGCGGTGCGTGCGATGGGATGGCGCAACTGCAATCCGGAAACTTACGCCGCCCCCATTTCGATTTTTGAATCGTTCATCCGATATGCGATCGTCTATAATAATTTTATTGTGAACAAGTATGTAGATTTANATCCGACCCGTGCTCAAGTCGGTCGCGAAAAGGTCCAGCTTGACTTGGATCTGCTCCACAAGATCAATGACCGTTTTGTCTCTGTTTACGCTTCAGAGTTGAGAGAGACATGTTTTAGAGTTGCTATCATAGGACCACCGTTACTAGCACCACTAGATGCACTTTCAAAAAACGTGCTACGTTGTGGTTTGGTGGTTTCTATGAAACGCGGAGTGTTGCGTTCAAGGTCTGTACTAGTGTAGGAATTTGGCTACGCGAGGCTGGGCCACTCGGGAGTTGGTTCTGGGCCGCATCTGGCCCGCGGGCCGCCAGTTGAATAGGCCTGCTTTACACTATATAAAGAATTAAGAAATCTGTTTTTAAATTTCCAACGTCAAGTGAAAGTTGGTAAAAAGCATGTGAAGGTAAACAGTTACTTGTGTGTGTGTGTGTGTGTGTGTGTGTGTGTGTGTGTGTGTGTGTGTGTGTGTGTGTGTGTGTGTGTGTGTGTGTGTGTGTGTGTGTGTACCTGCTGTTTGTGTATTTATTACAAGGAGACATAATCTAATGCCAGCGACTTAGCTGGTCCACCTGGCTGAACACCACATTGATCTGTGAATCTATGATTCTCTGTGTGTGTGTTTGTGTGGGAATTTGGCACGATGTTACTTGTGTGTTTTTCAGTGGGTGATCTTTGCCTCCTGTATGCCTCTTGCCATTTGACTCACTCGTATAAAACACAGGGTGGGATAAAAGATAAATCAGTGCAGAGACACATGGGCTAAAATGTTCAACCCTGTTCTGGTCCAACCATCAGGTCCAGCAATTTTTCTCTATTAAGCTTTAATCAACATTATTGTAAGTCTTCCATATTGTTGGTCTAAATAGGATTTAAAGGGGCCCTCATATGCTAATTTTCAGGGCCATATTTGTATTTTGTGCCTCTAATGTGACATGCTTAAATGTTCACAAAGTACTTAATTCTTCTCATACTTTTGTTCACCCTTTGTCTGCGGGGTGGGCAGGGGGGAGTGTGATGGACAGTAACTCTCCCTTGAGGGAACTTTGAGGAATTTTAGCCTTTGCAGACCATTTACGTGCACAAAAACCTTTATAACACAGTACAGGAAACGGAAAACCCAAAAAGCATTATCGGGGCTTTTTATGGTACACAATCATTCAATTCAATTCAATCAGTTCAGTCCTTTTAACTGTCTCTTTGCTCCTACGCTGATCAACAGATGAGCATGTGGAGTACCAATGGCTGTTTATGATTCAGATAATGTTTTTTGTAATTTTCGCCTTCCAACCATAACTGTCCAAGCCAATCACCATTGGAAAAATATCAGAAAACTCACAAACAATATTCTTAAAAAATGCATGCTCTGGTTTGATGTATGTGCATTATTATGGCAACTACATGGAAAATAAAACAAAGGGTCAATGCTTACTATTGTAAATACAAAGTCCTCGAGCTCACAAAAGATGGACCCAAAATTGTAATCTTCACCTGTTCTGTTTTCCATTAAACCCTTAATAATAAATGAATGAACATCCTGCCACTGCAGATTAATTTGCATGCAGATGATGCACCAACGTATCACTGTGTCTAAGTTAGTGATCTACTGAATGCCTTCCACAAACTGCAGTTATATTTTTACCGACTGAAATTAACTTTAAAGGTTAGAGAAACTTAATATATAACTTCCCAGAGATATCCTGCCCATTGGTTAAAGAATGAATATAACATTACCCTTGAGAGGCAGGAAATAAATTAGAAAGAGGTCTCTTCAGACAGATATCTTGAAATATGGTAAAATGACAAATTAACTTTCCATAACTATTGAAAGAAACATATTCCCTTTATGAATATTTAATTCATTTTAAGAAAGTGCCTTTGCTTCATATTGAGAACAAAAATAATAATCTTTATCTGTTCTGGTTAATGGTGACATGTCATAAATTGGAAGTTGTTTTAACTCTGTTTACTTCATTAATATCTGGTATTATCTTCAATATCAAACTAGGAATGTATCACTTTCATTAAGTGTGCTAAATTCAATAACCCTCACTGAAAACCCAGAGGAATATTTATATGTAGCTTATCAGCTTCATAACCATTCTTGTGCGGTGGCCAACGGGTGGAAACACGATATGATCGCCCAAAAAAAGTTCAATTAGGTGGAACACAAAGCAGCTTCAGAAACGAGGCAAATATAAAAACACAAGTGTGCCGGTCTTTAGTATTTGCATCGTTTTTGAAACTGCAGCACGTTTCTCCTTGTGGAACGCATTTCCACCTGTCGTCCACCGTACACTTGGTACCCACTTTACCTTTTATTCACCAAGCTATCAGACCAATTCTTCAGTGCTCCAATCATTTGTTCTGAATTTGGACAAAACTGCATTTTGTACTCATCATAGGCCTGGAAAATGTTACAAGGCTCAATTTCACAACACGGCAGAAAACAAGAAGAATGGAACTCTTGTGTTAAGCTTGCTAATCATAGTCAATATTAATGTGATACATTGTACACGTGTGAAAGTCTATTTTGTAAAGGAGGTACTGTTTCTCTATGGGGTTTCTATGGAGTCAAGGTTCACTTTATGTTGTATTGTTTTATTTACCCTTTAGTAAACACAACATATATGTGTAAAATGTCCCTACACTTCAAAAATATTTTGTGCTGATTCAAAATATTATTATATAACAATATAAAGGCATAAACATGGTATATATTTACATGTAAAGGGATTTTATATGTTTCTTGGGGCTTTTTCAATCGAACATTAATGCTAATTAGAGATGCTGTAAATACTGGGTAGATGAAAACACACTTAACTACAAACAAATGAAGTAATGTGTGACAATTTGTTGGGATAAAATAAGCATCTAGATGCTCAATGTGAAATTAAATTGAGAAATAAATAATGTTCAGCCCTTTCTCCCTAAGATATGTTGTTTCCTGATACCACACTTTGTGGCATTGAAATAACCAAAAGTGGGACATTTTTATTAGACGGGATGTTCCATGACCGCAGCTGTTAATGTGTGTAACAGAAAATATTAACACTTTTAATCTGGCAAAAACTTTATTGTCAGTTGTGTCTCAAATAATCTTTGATCAAACAAAGAAAATATATTACTCTTGATGGACTGGACTCAAGTTTTGGATGAAAGAAAGCAAAATAGTATAATTATACCCAACTCTAACATACACACAGAATTTTAAACTTACTTTGCCACTTTGTTGATGACAGGTGCAAAGTTGGTGGGTCCATAGAGCTGCACCGTCCTCAGGCTCTGGAAGTACGCCTCCAGAACTCCCTCTATGCCCACACAGTTTGGATTCTCAGCGTCACCGCTCTGCAATGAAAGAAAACAGCACACTAATGAAGAGAGGTGGAGGAAGTACTCAGATCTTGTACTTAGGTTAAAGTAAAAAAACACACTGATGAAATGTTGCAAGTACAATTCTAACACCCAAACTGTTACTTACCTAAAAGTATGAAAGTGTTTGCATTAAAGTGCTAAAACTAAAAGTACTCAGCATGCAGAATGGCCATTTTGTAATAATAGTAATTATATCGCTGGATTCAAATTCATGATCCATTCATTTTAACACAAATTCATAATACTGCCAGGTATCTTAATCAATAATTAAAAACCATCATACTTTATTTAATTTAATGTGTATTTTAATTATTTGAACTTGAAAAGTAACTAGCAACTAATCTTGTAATATACATGTAGTAAGTACCATCATTTATTCAACATTTGTCTGGATTAGAAGCATGAATTAACACAAAATGGAAATACTCAAGTAAAGTATGAGTACCTCAAAAGTGTGCTTGATTACAATACTTGAGTAGATGTACTTAGTTACTTTCAACCACTGCTTGGTACACACTTAGTACACAAACATAGCATTCCATCCAAAGCACATAATCGTATACCGTAGTTATTCCCAATAAAGATATCTATTTATTTGCATTTAAAATACAATTGTATTAAGATATATTGACATTTTAAGAAAGTAAATGTCCCAAGAAAATATATACAGGAAATTCAAGAGGAACAATTAAAGGTAAACCATAAAAAGACTGGTGTTTTACTGGTTCAAAGACGTTTTTTATATCGTTGGAGATGACAACATTAACCTTAATCTGACTGTGGGAGAAACTTCTGTGTAGCAATGCAGTGGGAGTCACCGACTCTGGAAGGAGACACGGGGAGAGCTCTGATGTCAAACACTGATGGTTTATTTAGGAGCTTCGGCCGGAGAATTCACAAAACAAGTCACAGAGTCAGAGGATCTGACTTCACGGGAGAGTTGCCACTTAAATTCTGAAGAGTCTCTCTCTTGCTAGACCTTTTAACTGGTACACAGAGAGTAATCAACATATTTGTGGAGATAGCCTAAACAGCTGGGAACACTAAATCACTTGCATCTGACACTTATGGCCTCGAAGATTTCACACCTTGGAATCCACAAACACAGAGAAGGAAGTGTTCAAGTGTACCCACAACAATAAACCATTTGCCCGGTCATAAAATGGGAACAACAACGTATGGCTGAAGCAGCCCCTTTCCTTAAGGGAAACTCCCGACGTCAGGGTTGGTCATCATGGGCGGCGCCAGGATTTTTTTGCTGCAGTAGCTTAGCAGTTGCTATATGACAGCACAGCGTTGCTAGTTAATTTTCAAAAATAAATAAACAAACAATACCAGTGGGCCAAGCACGAGCCGGTTCATATTGTAGCGTTCACCGCTATTCAAAATCACAGATCACTCGAGCCTTCAATGTCGAAAACGTTCTCTTTATTTTCTGGTATTGACGGCCACAGCCACGCCTTACAGAACCAATCAATAGTATAACACTCATTATGACTTTTCCCCACACTCGAAGACAACTCCTACCGTCTCGTACTCCCTCCACACTCACACACCGAAAACGCACACACACACACCTGGAAGGGGCGGTCTCTCCCTAACTCCCACCAACAACATTGCCTAAATAACTTTACAAATGTACTAAACTGTGCACATCTGATAACTGAAATAACTATTAACTTGGACACGCTGCAATATTATCATTAATATTTACATTAAAACATTCCTTTGACACTTATAACATTACTTTGCACAACCAAAACAAGTTTGTAAAAGCAGAATTTGAACACTGTTTCTGTGCTCCTACAATATTTTTGTATAATACCATTACGCATACAAGCTACATTACAACATTACAAGCGTACAAGTACACAATAGCGATCGTTCACTGTTTCAACTGGCATGCTGTGGCATTTAACCTCATCACCACACCGCAAACAGACAGACACACACACAAACACACGCACACACACAGTGTTGTCCGGCTGGACCGGTTGCTATAGCAACTCCAAGCTACCCCCTGGCGCCGCCCCTGTTGGTCATAGACGTCAAAGGGCAAAAAGGTTAGATATCTAGGAGTCCAGGAGAATTATTCCCTAACAAGTCTCAGTGTGCTAAGTAGTTTTGCCCTTAAGGGCTTCCTTACTTGTGACAATTGGTGAATTACGGTAGGGAATGTGTGTAAATTGAATATGTATGCTGTGAAGATCCACTCATCTTGGATCAAGGGGGCAGCAATTAAGCACACATTTGGTAGAGAATGCTAGAACATTTACATTTTACAGGCTCAGCCACTTTCTCTTTTGAGCTGATGTGTAATCAAAGACATGATGGCTGAAACACTTGCTTCATAGCAAGCATATATTTGTTTCTTTGTGTCTTGTCGGTAATTACATTTGAGGTTTTTTTATTACAAATTACAGGAATAGCAGTTTTTATATATTTTTGTGAAGAGTCAAACACAGCCTCTTAAAGTCTTGTTCACACATCCTTGGACGAGAGAATGAAGAGATCAGAATTTGGAGTTCAATTAGTATTATTTTTGCTATAATTAAAAAATGTATACGCTTTAAACACATAAATATGATTTATGACTAATAGAATGAAATTGCTGTCAATTCTAATGACAGCAATGACCTGTGTGACCCGCTCTATTGAAAGCAGTCAGATGTCGGCACATTACAAGACAATCATGGGTTTATGTCAAGAACTCTTGTTTTGGTTGATTTTAAACAAACAAAACAGTGTTTCCAATTCAGTGATAACTGTCAGCTCTGACTCTGATCAGCGCCCCTTCCTCTCTACAACTCCCTTAGCTTTGCCATAGACTGCAAAGATCACATCAAAATCAGAGCTCATTCAATTGTGGTCCTAAGGGGGGGGCAGGGGTACTATGCCCCCAAAATATTAGGCCTTGAACCCCCTCTTAAAATAACTTAAAAGTAACTTTAAAATGTACTATAAACTTTGAAGGTGTTTTTTCTCAGAACGGCGTCTTCATAACAGTCATCATGTCATATTTGGAGTACGAAAACAGTAAGGCTATAATAGAAAAATAAGGATCTCTTTTTTCCAATGGTGTACATAACTCAAAGTTTTGTTTTGGGGTCAAAGTGACTTTATCTGTGCCTCTGAAGATCGTCTTTAGTGATAGGAAAAACCCAGCATGTTTCTGCTGAAAGCTTTTATTAAGTTGTCGTGTAACCCCCAGTTTCCACTGGGTCCGTCTGCGCCGCGCTGCGCCGCGTCACGGCTGCGCCGCGGTTTTGGTCTAGCGCCATAACCCACCGGACGCGTCCCAGAAGCGTTTCAGAAGCGTAGCGTCGTGCGTGCAGGCTCGCAGTTTTGTTATTGATTCGGGTTTAATTTGAGTATTACATTTACTTTAAAACATCAATGTAGTTGTTACCTTCCACTCCACAAACTGCAGCCAGGCCTTGTCCTTTCTGATGTTGTCCTTGTAGGAAGCATTGGTTACATCATATAAAATAGTGTGTTTTTCCACTTCCATGATGAAAACCTCGTCGTCCATTGTGCGTATCGTACGGGAGGTGCTGTGATGAAGGAGGGGGGTCTGCTAAATTAGTATATGTGGGGGTTGGGCCTGGCCCGGATGCTCACCTTTCCACTTCCTGCGAGGGGGGGCTGCCTGCCCTACCTTACGTTACGGCTGCGCCGCGGCAAAAATATGATTCATCCTAATTTTAGAGAAGCGCTGCGCCGAGCTGCTTCTGGGACGCGTCTGAGCCGTAACGCGGCGCGTGTGGTGGAATAGCACCCATTGACTAGAGTGGCCGCGAGCCTTACGACCACCGCGGCGCAGCCGTAACGCGGCG